CGGTCGTAATCTATTTTTCATACCCCTAAGTGATAAGTGTAGTCCTCCCCAAAAATTTTTTTTCTACTCTATAAATTCCCTAGAAATAATTTATATGGCAAAACAACGTTTGCCGGGAAGTTATAAATTTCGTTTGTACTTATTTTTACTGTTTTCTACTTATTATAAAACACCAGAATTGCGATAGAGGCATTTGTAACATTTTACCTTTGCAATGGGGTGAAATTAGGTACCTACTTTATCTCCATCGATTATTTTTCTACTTTGCCATTACGCAGTCATAAGGGGAACTGAATCTGGTATTCCCCAATGTGACTGTGGTAGTCGCAAAACCTCGCGCGTTGTACCTAACATTTATATTATGCACCCCTCCCTACAGCTTCGACGTTGCGTTGTGAACATTTTGAACAGTGATGTCTAAATGTAAAAATCTTCGTCCCCTTGCGCTGCAATAAGATACAGTCTAATGAATCAAATGTCTCTAAAACTAACATTAACTTGCAATGTTTAAAATTACGGTGCGGTAATTTTTAATTTTTAATTGCATAGACAAAAAGGATGGTTAAACTCTCTGAATTGACCAGAATGATCTTCTTAATGATCAGAATGATCATTTACAAATAGTTTAATCATTGGTTAGTTTAATCAATTTTGGCAACTCGAATGACATGTGAAAAGCCGTTTGACAGCTGATTAGTTAACTTCTATGATGATCAGTGAAAAATCATAAATTCAAACAGATATTCGTGGCATCCTTTCGGGATGAACGGCATGGGTATACAGCGTGTCGTTACCATCGCGACAATAAATGAACACACGTCTAACGCTACTTGCCAATAATCATAAAAAAATATAAACGTTAAACAAAATCCATAATTAAAAAAAAATATTTTTCAAACAAACTAATTAAGTAAAAAAGAAACAAAATTTGTAACATCCTATACAACTCGCGCCACAGCGTCGTATTACAAGCCTCTCCTTCTAACAGTATGTTTTGTCTCTTTTAAATTCATTCAACCCATTCATAATGATTTGTGACAAATGAACTTTACTTTACGCTTTTATAGGTAAGGAAGGGTGTTCTAAAATTCTTTGTTTTGGAAAATTTAATAACTGTAAATATTGATGTTTAAAGAATTTGAATGTGTAATACAACTTTAAAAAGTTATCCCCTATTTGTGTGTTCATTTATTGTCGCGATGGTAACGACACACTGTATATGTTACGTACACACCTGCCCATGCCGTCCATAAGGTGTACAAAAGTGGACCCGTACCCGTTAATGTTGCCTATATCCGCCTATATCCTTTACGGTGGTAGGGCCACGCAGCAGCTTCGGCTGTTGCACGAATGGGCAGGCCCGTCTGGACAAGTACCACGACCTCACAAAACACCAGCGTAAAGTGGAAGTGTGACAAATACTTTCGCGTTTCGTCTGGTGAGTGAGGTAGCCGCAGCCCAATTTTCAAAAGGTTGTCAACGCATCTGTAACCCTCGGGTGTAGCTGATGTCCATGGACGGCGGTATTCAATTACCATCGGGTGAACCGTCTGCTCGTTTGGCAACTTTTCACATAAAAAAAAATATCCGTACCGAGCGCTGTGTTTACCTCAGACGGGGCGTTAGTTTCACGAAATCGTATTGTGTACCATTAGCTGCGCACGCTAATTGACGAAATTTTATTGGGTCAAGCGCGCACCGGTCGGTCTGCGGCGACCTCCACCAGATGGCAACGCGACCTTGCCGGTAGAGAGCCAAATGCACCGGACTTTTAGCGTCCGTATTATTATAAGAACACAATTATTTCATGCCTGTCTTAGTTTGATTAACTCGATTATAATTCGCGAATTTAATTTACTATTTAATCACCTGTTTAAGTATAACATTTCAGTGTATGTTGTGACCTACAAAATGTTGAGCCTTTAATCCCGCATTTGATGTTATAAGTGTAAGCTTTACAGTATAAAACCTGGTTGCTCGTATAGAAAAGCTCGTAAGTTGCGTTATATTTACAGAATCGATTTTTTGTTTCAAGTATATATTTCTTAATTCATCACATTGTAGAAGGAGATTATTAGATAGTGTCGATCTGTGCAAATGTTTTGAAAGTCGATGGATGCATGTAGCTCGAGATCGTATTTGGTGGCAGTGTATGGGGGGGCCTATGTTTAGCAGGGGTCACTAACAGGCTGAAATGATTGCTATATTTCTCACGAGGCAATGTGGCCGACGATCAGGTTATTCTTATGGTAATGGTCCGCAGCCCACTGACATCTAGGACCGGTACGTCCTGGATGCGTTGCGTTGCCAACTCTTGAGAGGAAGCGCCCAGGTTGTCACTTGCCATGTGTAATGTGAACTTATCAGTACTTCCGCCGGTCTTCCGTGGTGTGGCCTATTCATGTGTATCATAAAAGCTGTCGCGTGCTTTAACATTACAAGTGGACATATACATACACAGACATGTTTAACGTTTCCACGGCGACTTTAATGGCTCTCAAACGTGGGATTCTATCTGTAGCTGCGGTATCCAGTTAGGGGTGAATAACGCTTCAGTGCCAATTGCACCGGCACAGCACCATTTGACTGGGCCGGGTGTACTGCAGACACTAAGAGATGGCCCAAGAAAGCCATAGCCGCGCGGGAGATTGCGTCTGCGTTTTGCCCTGTCCTCGGTGGATGCCATAGAGACAGTTGCAACATGGGTTTTTTAATGGGTACCCGTTTTCGGTTTCGAATTCCCACATACCCCTGCCACTCCGCCGATCCCGTGGCAGGGGGATCCATAAAAGATTTTCCCACGTTTGAAAAAAGCCGTAAATAACGCGCCCTTGCTTTTATTCGTTACGTAATATGCATTGATTTCGGGGACATTGCTCCGGGGTTATTCATGATATTCGCCGATTGTTTCAACCAAGCGAACGGTGAAGGTCGCGTCTATTCATGAATTTTTATGTATGTTTATTAAATTGTTGGACAATCGCTCAGATGTGAACTAGAATATTAAAGAGCCAACGATCGTGGATTTGAGAGATGATAAGATAAATATGACTTTGTGGCAAATCTGTATAATTCCCAATTTTTGTCTGTGGTAGGGCACGAAGCAGCTTCTACTGTTGCACGAATATGCAGGCTCGTCCAGGGTTCCACGGCCTCACGGACACGGGCTTGGGTTATATGTATTATACTTTCGCGATTCGTCTGGTGAGAGAGGCAACCTATTATTACAATGTTTGCCACGTTTTCACGTGCTCACGTGCTCAGCGGCAAAGGAAAACACCGTGACGAAACTGCAGGATTCGTATATATATATATATAAAAAAATCGATTTCGAAGATATGTGAAGTCTATCAATTCGGCTATATCCTAATATCCTCTGTGTAGCGGCCTTTGCCCAATAGATCGACAGTTATATGCTGTTAATTGACCTTATTATAAACCCAATAACTTATGACCGGCAGCGATTCGGTAATTGTTGACTAAATTAATTAATTGCTTGTACATAGATTATTATTATGCATACTTTCCGTTTTTGCTACTGATTTTATGATAAAATTGTATTGGTAAAGATACGAGGAACAAAAGAAATAAACAAAAACAAGAGCCCAATAATTCGCGCTGTAATCTCAACCGGTCTAATTTAGTGAGTGGACCGGTTGCATAAAGGACTGAGTTTGAGTGTTATCTAAGAAATATACTTATACTTATTAATGTACTTGGTTTAAAAATTTTATTTGTTTTTCTAATGATGCAACCAGTCGTGTAAAGACTCCGTATGGCGACCATTATTTCATTCGGCTTTCGGGACACAAAGTTCAAACAGTACGGTTAAAAATAAAACGGATTGTCAAAAAAAACAAAGACGTGTGGTATCACAAATATTCTTTTCACACCTTCAAACGTGTTTCTTTTGATTTCTGTTTTTTTCCTATCCTGCATTAAATTGATTACGTTTTCGTTGTGGATTTTGTAAACTATTTGCCTTAGGAGATTCGTTTGCCTATTCAAAATGTTTTTATTTTATAATTTATTGGTATTTCACGTAACAAATTTGTGATTTCCTCTTCTCGAAGTTTACGGGAATTTCTGTTAAAAATGTTAAATGATAGTGCTGAAACCGTATCTAGTGCAATAATTAAAAATTGCTTTAACATGCGAGATTAATCTTTAATTCTTTAATTGAAATCTTTTGCACTCCTTATCGTCAACCATTAGTGCATTATAGGAAATCGAAAATCTTATCGAATTGCTCAAATCTTGCGAATGTTCAAATTCGGCCGTCGAAAGCTTGACATTTCTATCGAGAGCTAGACAGACGTATTTTTGGATATTTTTTTTAAATTAAATATAAGTGTTTAACAACGAGAGATAATTTAAGCTTGAGTGTTGCCAATGTCCATGGGTGATCAGTTGAGACTTGCATCTTTTTTTTTTTTTCAAATGTGGAAAGTTGTCAAGCGAGCAGACGGTTCATTTGATGAAAAATGAATACCGTAGCCAGTGGACATCTACAGCACCCCATGGGTTGCGAATACGACGACAGCATTTAGGGTGGTAGGGCCACGCAGCAGCCTCGGCTGTTGCACGAATGGGCAGGCCCGTCCGGGTAAGTACCACGACCTCACAGAAGACCAGCGTAAAGTGGAAGTATGACAAATACTTTCGCGTTTCGTCTGGTGAGTGAGGTAGCCGGAGCCCATTTTCAAAAGGTTGTCAACGCATCTGTAACCCTCTAAGGCAGATGTCCATGGGCGGCGGTATTCACTTAACATCAGGTGAACCGTCTGCTCGTTTGACAACTTTTCGCATATAAAAAAAAAAAAAGTGTTCCCCGGCTACCTCACTCATTACACGAAACGCGGAAGTATAGTAGGTACTTCCACTTCACGCCGTTCTTCCGTGAGGTCGTGGTACATACCCGGACGGACCTGCCCATTCGTGCAAGAGTGAACACTGTTGCGTGTCCCTACCACACTATTTAATTCTCTTTTTGTCTCCAGATCTCGTACACTGCACGAACGAGCCGAACGTCTCGATACCCCAGCTGGCGAATCTCCTGGTAGAGCGCACTCAGAACACCAACTGGGTGGTGGTGTACAAGGCTCTCATCACCGTCCACCACCTGCTAGCGTACGGCAATGAGGTGAGTGCTGGTTCCTACGGTCTGGTTTACTGTTTTTTTTTAAATATTGCCCTTAATGTAGTATAACATGGTCCTGTTTGGAAGGACATTTTGCAAACATAAATGTCACGCGGACAAACACCCAGGTCCGAGACAATTGTCCGTGGGTCACACAAATATTTGTCCCGTGTGGGAATCGAACCCACGATCCGCGGCACCTAAGCCAATGCCATGGCAACTGCGCCACGGAGTCTGATGGTGGATATATTTTGGGTGTGTTGATCTGTTGGTTCTTATAGGAATGCGTGTTAGTGTCGTCGAACCATTCGGGTAGTGATTTAAAAAAAAAGATAAGATCGCAAAGTTTCTTGCCGACTCTCCTCTTGACAGGTCTTGTTTGATAAACCGGTGGTAGTATTTTCGACGTACAATGAGAGTTTAAAAAAACGTATATTGAAAAAATTAATTTTGACTTTGACTTTAGCTTTTAAATGCTTCGTAGTGTTCTCATATTCGTAATAACACTTAATAGGCTCTTCAGAAACGCATGCTTTAGGAATCTCTGTTATCAATAATATCTGAATGTATCCGAAGTAAGTTATTGCCTCGTTTCATACTTTATACTGCTGACAAAGTGTTAGTGTTGTAAAAAGTAGGGATGTAAATATAATAATTAATGCGTGTACAATGTCCGCAAAAGCTTCATTTAAACAAAATTGGTTAATTTTGAGATATTGTGCTTGCTGTAAAGGAAGCATACCTAACTGTGGTAGGACCATGCAACAGTGTTCACTGTTGCAGGATGGGCAGGTCCGTCCGTATAAGTACCACGACCTCCCAGAAGACCGGCGTAAAGTAGAAGTGTTACACTTCTGCGTTTCGTATGGTGAGTGAGGTAGCCGGGGCCCACTTTTTTGATAGGTGGCGACGCATTTGCAACCTTACGGGTGTTGAAAATGTCCATGGGCGGCGGTTGATGAAAAGATTGCACCAAGCATCGCTAAAATGTTATTTTCATATATAAGCTATTACCATAAGATAAGCTTAGTGTTGCGCCCAGACGCATTACTCGGAAGTTGATGGTTCATATCGTGACAGTGACGCTAAGACAACTTATTTGCAGAATTAAAATTTCACCTTAAGTGCAGAGACTTGCCGTAAATATTAAAGCATTCAAGACTATCCAAGATGAACGAATATTGTGCCAGTCAAGCTCTAATTGACATCTCCGAGTGCGTCAATCGCTGGTTTCGGATGTGATAAGTGGAAGGGTAAAATCGAGTTGAAACAACACCCCTGACCCGCGAAGTGTGAAGGCTTGGAGAAACTTAATGCTGCATTAAGTATTCAAAGTGCACGTCTATTATTACGTTAATTACCGACGGCGCTTATTTGCAAATCGTTATATTACAACTATGGTACATTTTGTGTAAGGTTATGCTTTTCAGGCCTCTGTACTTATAAGTGGTCTTGCGTCATATATTTATTTATTAACGAATGTGGTACATGATCGAGTAACTTTATGTTAAGCGATTATCGCTGCCCACCGACATCAAAAACACTCTTTCAACAAACACTCGACAAAACTCGTTTTAAATTTTAGCCCGTTTTTAAATAACCACACTCACCGGAGATAAAGTGGAAATGACTTGGACCCAAGCCCCCAAGCCATCGCAGTGCAGGACGACCCTCCACAGATGGTGACGACCTGTGCAAATGTGCGGGAAGTCGATGGATGCAGGTGGCTCAGGATCGTACTTCGTGGCAGTCTATGGGGGAGGCCTATATTCAGCAGTGGACTCAAACATGCTGAAATGATGATGATAATGATGAAGCCCCTGAGATGCCGTGGTATCACCCGGTTGAGCTGAACTACTATAAACAGCGACAAATAACAGAAACATGGAGTCAAGTTTTTTCCGTATAGAAGTGTAGATGTTTTTGTAGTAAACACTAGGGGTTTACCAGTAATCCTATCTTGATGCACCTTTACCTACCTTTAGTGTTCTCTGTCGAAAGTTTCATTGCCAACTTGCTGATGGAATATTTAGTACAGACGTCTTTTAAATTTTTATTCGTCGTCATCCATATTCTTGTTTTTCCATAAAACCGCAACAAAATTAAAATTTCTTTATTCAATTTAGGCTTATTTCAAGCAAGCTCTCATTGAACGTCAAAAAACTGCCACCGGTTCACTAAACTAGACCTGTCCAGAGAAGAACCGGCAAGAAACTCTGCTGTCTCATGTTGTCGTCATTCGATCTACTTTAATGTATAGAAATCTTATGAAAGTACTCGCGCATTGTTCACTTATATTGCCCAAGGGCTTTACGCGCATGAAAATGTCATTTATTGAGTTTTTCCGAAAGCCCTACGTTATGAGATTATTCTAGGGATACCGGCTAGTCTCGCACTCTTATATATTTCTCGAGTTATCATACACTTACGTATGTGAAGATGAATTTATTACGTCTTCAGTAAAGTGTTTTTCACATCTTAGCTCTAGGGCACTCGGTTTTATTAAAGACAAAATGCCATACACAAATAATGCGTTGTTCGTAAGTGTACCAAATTATTATACACTAGCCACGTCTAGACAGTTCTTATTTGCATTAAATATCCATATAATAAGTAATACACAGCTATCAAAGATAGTGGAATAAATGTGAATTCGTCAATGTTATACCGTTGACTTGAAATAACTTACGTACTTACCACGGCAGCATTAAATTTTTTTTATTTCTTTTTCCGTGTCGATAAATATGTGCTCAATATTAAATTTGAAATGGCAGAAACTTAAACAACTTTTGTTATAATCAATTATCCCTTGCACATTGTACATTATACGGCTATAATGTTATGTTGGCATTAAAGTTTTGTTGTAAAAGTATGGTACATAGCTGTTCCGTGCGATTTCATACGCGATCCGTAGCGTGAAGTTAAATGCCCTATAACCATCCTCAAGAATTAAGGCTATTCTGTTTTCTGATCCGACTGGTAGTAGAGAGAGCGCGTTCAAACAACCAGACAAACTCTTCAGCTTTATTATATCAGTATAGATTAATTAGTGGTTTAAAGTAATTCTAGAGTCCGTTCAATCGATTTAAAGGTTACTCGGCGCTTAGTAATGTAATATTTTATTATTACACATAGAACTCGTGTGAAGGCTTTCAACCGATTCGAGCCGGGCGGATACACTGACGCGTTGTAATGGATTGCGATAAGGTCTACAACTAGCGGGCACATGTGTGCGCACGTGATACATTGCTGCATTTACCAACGCGAGATAGAGTGGAGCGTATTCTGCGAACGCATTGGATACTGTTCCTGCGTAATAACTGCATTATATGATCACAGTAACAGGTCCTCAGGCGTGTAAGTGGCACCCCTCGAATATCTTTGCAGTTTGAGCTGTTTGCTTATATTTTATTGCGCGATGTGTCTATGTTGTGGTGTTAACAACCTTTCTGAATTTATTCCTATATACAGAATAGCCCATATGAGATCAATGTATGAGTTCTTGGGATAAGTCCTCACTACTATTCGTTGAGTACTTCTCTTAAGGAAGGCTCGGATAATGCTAATAATAATATGACCCATTCTTGGGATTCGGGTCTGCCTAATTTATGCGTTATGGTCCATTGGTAGTCACGGCGGTCAAGTAAAATAAATAAAAAACATGTACATAAAATTTTACAACTTTAATTGCAGTCAGTTTCTTGCTTTAGCGATTTCAATAATAGTCTTTGAAGTCTTATCCATAGGGAGAAAATAGAGAAAGTAGATAACTATATCTGTTAAACATAGCGAATATTACGGTTTCACTCTGCCATTATCGTAGGTGACATCGCATTATAATGCAATTCGTAACATTGAGTTGCCATTTTGAATTGTACTGACACGCTGGCTAAGACTTGTTGACACAAGTGGCTGTGGGACTATCACTACGCAACGACGACTATAGAACTGCGTCGAGTTAATCGAATCGCCTATACGCGTCTCGGACCATTAATGCCCCGCACTATTAAAGACATTGTTTCTGTTCTGTAATTAAAACATGTTGGACAGTCACGCGTATAGGAAAATGTATTTATACGTCATGTTTTTCAGGCCAGTGCGAGTTTTAAAGTGTCGAGTCTCTAGATTATCGGGGGAATTTGTTGAAATGTATCCCTGAATGTTTACCCGATAGACGGACAAAAGAAGGAACTTAGAAACGATTTGGTGAAACATATTATTCGTTTTGAGGGCAAATTTCAATTACATCGAGATCAATTCATCTGATTTCAAGTGATTACTACCGCCGCACAAGGACATCTAAAGCACCCGGGGAGTTGCAGTTGGGAAACGACCGTTAAATATTTGGGTCTCGGTTACCTCACTCACCAGGCGAAACGCGTGGACTATGATACTTCCACATCACGGCTTCCACGGACGACGCTGCCTATTCGTGCAACAGTGAAAGCTACCGAGTGAAATGATAAACTGGACCTCTAAATAGTCTACAGTCGATTTGGTCCAGCTTTATTGTTGCTAGCTCTGCTTTCAGCTCTCCTGCTTCGGAGTGCGCACTTAGCTATCTTTTGGCCAATCAAAACGGAATTGTATTCATAGGAGCGGTGGTTTTTAACTTGTCAGCGCGGGATGAAACAAACAACACAGTGAGGACAAACCAAATAACACACTATCCAAATCGTATATTAGCTCCAAACGTAGAGATGCAGCCCGTCTGATAGCTGTACTTATATTAACGGAGAGCAATCGATAAAACGGGGGTCAACTCAAAGGTGCATCGATTTATTCATCGTAGGGAACGCGGTGTGGTCGATTGAGAATTGCACCCGAAAAAAGTTTATAAAAGACCACACAGAAGACGGGCGTGAAGTGGAAAGTGCGATTGGTGCGAACCGTATGAAAATCCGTTCAGTAGTTTTTGAGTTTATCACGTATACAACAAGTAATGATACTACGAGCGCTTTCAATATTCCGATATTGTGCGTAGCATATTTGACAAGAGAACAGTCAGAATCGGTACACAATAAGCACTTGGTTGGCAATTGGGACGCCTGTGTGTCGGTCAAAACTAAGTATGGAACGTCTGTTTTCGGAACTTTTAACTGGTAAAATATAATTAAGGCTACCGTGTGAAACAACAGGTTTAACACTCGCGCCTGTGTTGTGTTGCCACAAATAAGTATGGACCTTTCTTTTCGGATCTTTTAATTGAAAAAATAATTACGTAATCTGTAAAAACAGTTACGTAATGTGTAATATATATATCTACAACTCGTCAATTTACGAACTAAAAGACAGCAATATCAAGCCATACGCAGTTTTTAATTGTCTATAGAGTTATAAGAGTTCCAATGTACCACTCTGACGACATATCGAGCCTTGAACCTGTCTAGTTATTGTATATCAAATACACACATTGTCTTATTAATTTGCTCTCGATATTAAAAGCAGTACGTAGGGACGGTTAGACATAGCGATTTGCTATTCAAATGCCGTCCACTTGCTCAAATAATGAATCATCGTGCATATATTATGTTGAGAGTCGTCACTTGTAGTTTCGCGGATGTATCTTTGCGTTTTCTAAATATTTTCGAAAAGACAGATGGGCCTCGGGAGATGGGCGTGTGGCATTTCCCACACGCTATAACAAAATCTTCAATATATCGTACATTAGACAGCCCTGAGTTAATTATAATCGAATTGGCAAGATCTAAGAGTTCTATGATGAAGAATACTTTAATCGTCATCACTTCAGTTTGTTTCGATCCACTTCTGAACCTAGGCCTCGCCACGGACCGCCACGAAGCACGATCCTGAGCCACCTACATCCATCGACTTCCCGCACATTTGCTCCATTAAGTGGTGGGTCGTCCAACACTACGATGGCCAATACGAGGCTACCACTCGAATACTTTAAGGGCATGCAAAGCAATTCCAGTGGCATAAGAAACAGATCGAAATTTATGTACATCAAAAAGTCACTTTATTCTGTGGCTTAGTTTTTATATGACAAAGGTTCTTTAAGGGAAATTCGTGTAGAAATCACTAATGCATGTAATCGTAAAACATAATTTGGTCCATGTAGCGATCGAAATAAACACCTCCATGTATTGAGTCTGTTTTCTGATAAGAGACAAAATCACAATATATACAGTAGTATTGTATCGACGTGTATTGCAGACATGTCGGTTCGGTGATGACGTTCCACACGATTTTGGCAAGAGTTGGTTCCCTTGTTATAACCCAACGTGAAATTCGTACATCGGTATGGTACTTAGCGATACTTGCAGCACTATAGCAAATAGTAAGATTGCCAAAACAGAAAACATGAACAAAGTCGATGAAACCATTAACGATTGAGCCGGACAGGAGAATTTTACTCACTACAGTGGAATTAATTCTATTTACTGTTACACAACTCGCAGCGTTCCGATATTGTTTCTTGTTTTAAACTGGAATTTGCATTTGTTGCGTCAATTCGGCCTTTCGCCGCATCATTTTCAGTGTGCCGTTGGCCTTTTGCTTATTTTTTTAATTTTTTTTTTATAAACACATTGCTCTTACTTTAGGATAACATAAACTTCACGCGAACAAACACCCAGTTGCGAAACAACTATCTGTCGGTCACACAAGGAGTTGTCCCGTGTGGGTATCGAACCCACGACCCCCGACGCCGCAGCCAATACCTTGGCAACTGCACCACGGAGTCATCAGCCGTTTTATTGCCGATGTTCCCTCTACTTGAGATGCGGTAGCTTCATCGTTTGTATTTTCAATATGAAAACGGGATTCCCCTCCGTGCTACGTATGGAAAGAAAACGTGGCTGTGAGGCCTGCGTGCTAGATAATCCCGGTGACTAGACAGAGGGCAAATTCCTACATATACCCGCAGTGCTGACTTATGCCTTGAAGCATATTAGCAATTCAAAGGCGGAACGTAATCGGAACATTGAAAATTATTGAATAGAAATAATCATAGTGTACCATATAGTGTGAAATGGCCATCATCATTCCCTGTCCTTTACGTTGGTGGGGTCGGCTCAACATGTGATTTATGTGCATTGTTTTAAAACGGGATAAATCCTTTTTGGATCACCTGCCCTGCTCGGGGGATTGGCAGGGGTATTTGGGTGTCCCGGTCGGAAACGGGTAGCCCCTGAAAAGACGACATTGCACCCCTGTCTCTTTCGCATAGGCCGGGGATACGGGAACAGGAAGACGCTATCTTCCGCGACCCCGGCGCGACTATGGCTTCTTTGTCTTCTTAGGCTTTATTATTGTAAAGTTACATTAAAATCTATTCTGTACTTTTTGCGTGAAAGAGAAACAAACATCCATACATACATACATACAAACTTTCGTTTTTATAATATTAGTAAGGATGACTTTATTTCTATCTATCTGAAATCTATCGTTCGGGGTGTCTTAATTGGAGTCTGAAAGGACGTACTCATCTTAAGAGATTTGCCATATGTGAGGTCAAAGCAATAAACCTTTGCCACATATAAAGCTATTCATAAAATTGGTGTTATGAAGCCATAGATTTTGAATTTGTGGTGAAAAGTAGGAGGCAACGATTTACAACAATTTACTTATTTAGCAGTTTGAAGAAAGAATGAAAAGGCATTCTCATGTGAATGCTTGGAAAAATAGTTTGTAACTTTACCGTTTTACGCGGACTCTTTCTTATTCTTTACACGTTTATAGGTTTATACGAAATTACACATAGCGAGGGTTCATTAATAATCGAAGTTGTATTGATTATTTATTATTGTAATAAAACAAAAAAAAAATAGCACCAGAATAGACTTGTATTTCACTTGTCGTAGAAATGAATGTGTTATAGTCAACTAGCGAACTACCCCGGCTTCGCACGGGTGCAATGTATTATACACATAACCTTCCTCTTGAATCACTCTATCTAGTAAAAAAACCGCATCAAGATCCGTTGCGTAGTTTTAAAGATCGAAGCATACATAGGAACAGACAGACAGACATACATAAATAGAGATGGGATCGTATGACGTCTTAAATACTTTTTAGAAAAATTGCAATAGGTTATTTTTGGGAGTTCGAACACTGAAAGAGTTAATGAATAAGTGATTTATGATGACTTAGAAATTGTGAAGTACAAAGCAACATACTTGTATAAGTGACAGTTGTGTGTGTGAACGGATGTATGTGTTAACAATACACGCTTCATTATTGTGTTTATTATAATCTGTCTTTTCTTTTTCTTCCAGAGGTTCACACAATACCTAGCGTCGAGTAATTCGACGTTTCAACTGAGTAATTTCTTAGACAAAAGCGGGGTACAAGGTATGTATCATTATGTTTTGACGTGTCTAAAATTTGCAGAACCAACTTCCATCAAGCATTTCCTCTCATACAGGATGTTTAGTGGGATATGGAATACTTGACATTAGAGACCTACTACTAATTGTTATGCCTCGAAAGAATATCGATATCGGATCGTGTTTCGGTCGAGTTTATCTCTGATCGAGCGAGTTATTCAATTCTGAAGCAAAATTGGTACATATATGCTACATGTTAATACAATCACGTTAATGAGAAGCTTAAAGCCCAACAATTCATTTAATTTTTTTTATATGAGAATGTGGCAAGCGAGCTGGTGGTTCACCTGATGTTAAGTGATAACCGCCGCCCTTAGATATTTGCAATAATGGTAGGGTTGCAGATGCGTTGCCACCCTTTAACAAAGTGGGCCACGGTTACCTCATCAGACGAAATGCAGAAGTGTAACACTTGCGCTTCACGCCGGTTTTCTTTAAGGTCGTGGTGCTTCTCCGGACGGACCTGCCCATTCGTGCAACAGCGAACACTACTGCGTGGTCCTACCACATTTGAAAATCACATGCATGTAAATTATTATTATACTGGCGTAGATTCCGGTTTTCCTACTGATATTATGACAACATTGTATTTGCAACAGTGAAGACTGTTAAAAGACTAAAAATACTTGAAAATCATTTCGATTATCCACAATTAATAAAACGTGTGTGTGTAAAAAAGCCGAGATTGATTGTACCTCTCACATTGGACTCTAGTAAAAAGATTTTCAATACCCACGCTTATCCAAAGTAACAAAGAATGAGTTATAATAATGCAAATTCCCTTGACGGTATGTGTCTGGTTGGTATGTGACAAGGCCGTGAGAATTAATAGTAAGGGACGGTTTCCAACGGAAGTGAGGGCTGTCGTATTATCTAACATTTGTGTCTTTAGTATCATAAGCACTTTTAAAAAGCAATAGATTTTTAAAAAAATTTTCTTTTGCATCATCATCTTTCTAGGTAGGGTCGGTACAAAATGTGAATCATGTTGTAAGCGGTTTTGGCTAGGTCTCTAACAACCGGCCGCCTGGCTAACGTCAACCCTCCTTGGGAAAAAAACACCGAAATCCGAAACAATTATCTCTAGGTCACACTTGTCCCATGCGGGAATCGAACCCACGACCCCCGACGCCAAAACCAATAGCTTAGCTACGGCGTCACAGAGTTTTCTTTCGTATACATATTGTTATGTATTTGGTTCGTCACTTTACAAGTGGTTGTGACTTATTGAGTCATTACGGATCTATGTTCGCAAGTTTGAATTCCAGTTTCTTACGCGATGAGTGTTCAGCCTATCCTGTCGGTATCAGTGTATGCTGTGACAGGTTGATTTTGTTTATGTTACAATTTAGATCGTCTGTGAATCATTATTGGCACCGTGAGTTTAAATAATAAAAAAAAATCTTTTCCTAAACATTAATTCTAATTATATCCAATAACGTTTTCTTTTGCTAATATATGAAGACGAATCGAGCTCGATTCTGATACCTCGCACTTAACACGTTTCGGTAAACTTCTTTGACCCCGTCTTTGGCCTTTTAAGTTCTTTCGACGAGTCAAATCTTACTTAGGTTTGACTTTTCATTTTTGTGAGTAGTTTGTCACAACACTATCTTGAGTAGAATGTTGCCAGGTAGTTATTTGTCGCGCCGAAAATATGACCCAACCGATTTCGCTTAAATTTTTCAATAAAGCTTTCGACATAAGACCAAATACGTCAAGTTCGCGTATAGATTGAGACCGTGAAGAGGTACTCCATTTTAAATTTTTTTTTTCCATATACTCGTGTCTCAAATAGACAAAATTCCAACAATTATGTTGGTACAGGAAAGATGTTTTATTGTATCTTATGTCAAACGTGTGAGACAAATAGTTTGTTAGCTTTTACGGCTATAGATATATTGGAAATGCTTACATTAGATTGAATGAAACGTTTTTTATTGAAAAATCCATGTATATATGATTATTCGATTCCACTTGATTGAAATTCAATGTTTACTGATGATTTTTTGCGTTTGCTAAGTTCGGTGAAACGTGGATAACGCTCTCCCATTCTGCCCACTCTATATAGATGCGAGAGCTTGTATAATTATGTTGATTACTCCGCCCTTACTTTGAATGGCTTCGACGCCGGGGTTCGTAGGTTCGATTCCCACACGGCACAAGGACAGTTATCATACAGTGTAGTAAAGTAAAATAGAAAAAGTTATTTTCTGTCAAGGTTTTAATCTTCTATATTTTCTCACGAACAGTCCGTGTCTACATTTGAATATGTCGCGACGTAAAGCATTGATATATTAAACTAGGCGCGCCTACCCGGCGACGCTCGGGCTGCGGCAATTGCCAAGCAGATATATATATATATATATATATATATCCATCTTTATTGCTTACGACGCTTGGAACGTGCCAAACCGAGCAATCGTTTGGCTAAGCTTCCAGCGCATGAGTCGATATTAAAGTTTAAGATGCCATTTTAATCTCAACTTTAAGATACTTTGGCTAGAAGTTAAAGGCCGTTTTTAATGATTATACCACTTAAGATTACACTAGATATATAGAATATCAATGTATATATGAGATTTTAATAATAATTGTATAGATAAGAATACATGAGATTTTTTCGCTTTTTTGTTTCTTACGTGCAATAATCGATAGCTTATGATGTTTTTGTAAAATACTCTTCGTTTGAATAAACCTAACAAATAAAAATAAATTTAACGCAGCTATAATTATTATTAATAACAATAGCCGCGTTGAATATCGACAAATTGAGTGGACAAGCTAGCGTCAAGTCTGTCTGACTTGGTAAGAGCAATTAAAAAGGAATAACAAGAGCGTTTTACTAGTTATCTCTGAATTTTATAGGCATTACTTGTAATTCTTTGAATACTTATATTATGATAACAAAGCAGAACAAATCCAATCCAACTAGTACAGACTATAAAATATCGATGAGAATCGAATACGATACCGTCTCTTAGTGACGCGACTCTTCAGGCACTGAGACGCTCACCAGTTCAGCAATATGTTGCCTAAGCGTCATTAAGTGAATACTATAGCGTAACCCTTGCCAAAAATTTGGCGTCTCTCCGCAATGGAAGCGTGTCAGGCTATTAGGTACCCCCGATGACCTCTGCGGGGTCGTTGACCGGCGCCCCCGCCGCCGAACAGCTGACCCGGCGCAACGCCCAGGACTCGCGCGATTCGTTCAATTGTTCGCGGCGTGAGTTCACTTTCCAGGATTCTATTTCTGGTTCCGTTTCGTTGGTACACTTAGCATGTTCGTTCGTACTTTCGCCAAGTCAAATTATAAGGGTTTTGCTGCAACGCATTCGTAACTCTGTTGGTATTGATATTGTACCAAAAATTGAGATTTACTCAAGTTGTTGGCATCGCATTGGTACTGTAATGTACAAAAAAGTGAGATCTACTCAAGCTGTTGAGGCTTTTATGTATTCTATGCGAGAATGTGGCAAGCTAGTTTTAAGTGATAACCGTCGCCCATAGAATTCTACAACATCTGCGAAGTTACAGGTGTGTTGCTAACCTTTAGAAAATGGGCCCCGGCTACCTCACTCGACAGACGAAACGCGGCAGCTCGGCAATCAAGCAGGAATCAAAATGTTTATAGATTATATGAATGCAGTTTAAATTTTATTTTACTAGGTTTTTGAGATTGAATGAAAGCTCTTGATTTGAAGATATGATTGTTGACTCTTAAGGCCCATTTACACGGTGCCAGTTTCTTGCCTGTTGTATACAATTAAATTGAAGCAATAAATAAGTTGCATGGTCTAAACAACAAATGGTCTAACCGATTTATTGCGCGCAATTTATTGCATTCAATGATTGCTCTTGCATGTACAAGAAAATGGCATCGTGTAAATGGGCCTTTACTCTGCACTTGCCAATCCTCTGGCTCCTGCTAATGTTGTACTTGAATACTTTTGTGTATATACTTAAACAATTTATAAAAAAAAATATGACCGTTTCCTGCCGGTTCTTCTTTGGCAGGTCTAGTTTAGTGAACCGGTGGTAGTTATGACTGTTTTGGTTTGATTGATTAAGCCTATGTTGAATAAAGTAATTTTGATTTTGATATTTTGTGTCGAAAATCCAGCTTATGTAATAGAGGACTGGTTAAAACGTTTTTTTTTAAGTATACGTATATTTTCTATATCTATTCTTTATTTCTTCTATACCACATGTATTTTTTAAAAGTGATATTAATAATATTTAATAATAATTACATTATCGTTTTAAATAGTGTTAAGCAATAATAATGCAGGGCTAGTGAAAGTATAAATCGGTTTTTAACATAAAAACCGATCTACACTTTCCTACCTTTATATATTCAGTATTGATAAAACACTGATCCCATTAAGTTGGTTATTTATAAGAGAATACGAAGTAAAACCACGATTGGTGATACCTGCTATTTATATTACCATTTACTTCAAGTGCTATGTTTATCCGTCTTGTCGTATATGAATTGAATTCGCTTCGTTATAAACATTACCATTAGTCCGCCCGAGTCCTTAGTTCACGGAACCTATTATGGGTCAAACTCCTCCATACACATATCGGTATGGACTCGTCTATCGTAGTTGGGACCGTTGCCTTCCTGTTGAATTTTTTTTAATTTACTATCACTGGCCACGGGGAGTTGTTGTATTCAAAATTCTTTAAATCCTTATGAAGCGATCGTTAATTACATTTATGTTATTTTGGAATAATATTGTTATTCCTCCCTCTAAACGGACCTCATCAATCTCGAGTTCGCAATTTTTTTTTAATTTATTAAAACCCTTACTTTAGGATAACATTATCCTGTTTTGTAAGGACGTTTTACCAACATGAATTACACGCGGACAAACACCCAGATGCGAAACAACTATCTGTGGGTCACACAAATAGATGTCCCGTGTGGGGATCGAACCCACGACCCCCGACGCCGAAGCC